AAGTCCTAGAATTTTACAAGAACCATAACAGAAATATCTCATGATTTCGTCACCTCGGATATTTTTGTATTTATTTTATTTTGTATGTATATTATATAAATATTTATTTGTGTATTCGTCTATTCGTATGTATTTTTCAATAGCATTATTAATTATAAAGTTATATTCATAAACGTATAGTTCATAGCTTCTTTCTTTTTTTCATTGCACATGCTATTTCCCTTACTGAACCATCTAAAGGTTGACTGGTAGATAATACCATGTGGCATTAAGTCTGCCTCGTGCCAATTGTAATGAAAGAAGTGTATTAAAACATAATAAAATTCATTACTTGTAAAAGAGCTACCTTGACGACGCGAGTTAAATATATCTTTTAAAAAGAGTATTATTTATTAAAGAAGTTACAACTACTAAATATCATACATGGTAGTTCAAGATCTAAGCAAAAGTGGCTATAAAAACACGTTCACGATTCACTCTGAACGATAAAAACGTGTATACTACGAGTACATTCTACAATGTATTGCATAATATTTTACGTTCATATTGACGTGTATGTGATAAATAATGGAAAACCTTGACTTGTATTGGATTGGAATAAAAGAGAAGAGGATACATTTTTTTAACAGATGGTACAAATACTGAACTATATAAATAGTAAATATTTTAAACGTAATATAATCATCGGAGGAGATTTTAATTTAAATATTTTAGAAAATAATTTACAAACAAACAAAGTTTTTAATTTAATGTTAGAACACAAATTTACGCAACATAAAAAAAACAACCCGCATAACGCAGACTACATCCACATGCATGGACTTAATTTTCACAAATTTTATTATTTACACTTCAGTAGAAGAATTTGGCTTCTCAGATCATAACGGTGCTATTATCCATATGAAGACATCCCAACAAAAAACGAATATTACTTACATAAAGAAAATGTTATATAACCATTTTTAACATAGAACTATTTAAAAACTACTTACAAAATATAAAGTGGTCACACAAACTAACAGTAGATAAAAATATAAATTCCAGCGGTTTTAACACAATTATAACAAAAACACTTAATAAATACATACCCATAACTAAAAATTACAAACACTTTGCAAAAAACACTTTAACTAGGTTTAAACAAAGATACCAATATTATTGGAAATCACATATACAAAAAATATAATCAAAATTATCAACATTCTGCTAAGATCTCCGGGAAGTTAAAAAACCACTGATATAAAAACCGCTCTAGTCACCTACTATGCCTATGCATCGTCATGGCTGAATTACGGTATCACCCTAAGCGGTAACAGCACAGATGCTCCCTCACTGCTAATTATGCAAATAAAAAAAAAGGCTAATTGTAAACATGGACGACACAGAAAGTTGCAAACCTCATTTACAAAAACTAAAAATACTAACCGTTCCTTGTATGTATATTCTTGAAACATGTAAATTTGTCAGACAACACACAGATTATTACAAGAGTAGGGAAGATTTAAACACAATTATACATTAAGACACAAAAACAGACTAAATTCCCCAACGTTCAGATTACAAATGCGTGCATCAATCCCCTATGTCATGTCCATAAAAATATATTATAAATTATCCAATAATATTTAAAATAAATAAAAAATTAAAAGATCTTTCAATACAAAAATGCTACTATCATATAAACGAATATCTAAACGAAAAATTTGAATAATTAACATAATATATTATTAGAAAGTAAGTTTTATAATTTATATTAATAATATACTATAAAAACAAATCAATATGGAATACCAATGTACTATAATATAATATTTACTAAATTTAATTAATACGTGAGCAATAAAATAAATGCCTTCTTAGTTCTATTTAGTAAACTAAATTTTAATATGATGATAGAATCGTGGTGATGAATCAGCAGGAGTATATGGTATTTCCATTAAAAACCACCCCAAAGGACGGCCTCATATGAATCCATCCCCTTAAACCGAGGACCCTTTTTTTTTCCGTGCGGAAATCCCCTCGGATACCACCTATCGCCGTTTCGGGTACTAATAGCCGGGGAACCAGGTATACCCTAGAAAGGAAGTCCCTGGTGCCCCGACATACCTCGGGCCATCTACAACCCCCCCCCCCCCGTGTGGGAACCCCTCTGCTCCCTGGAAGCGAGCGCGCTTCGCAACGCGCTCGCCGCCACCCCGGCCTGCTTCTGCTAGGGTGACAGATGGCCTCACCTGTCACCCCCAGGCCTGCGCTTATGGAGGACGGAAGTCGTTCTGCGACCTCCGGCGCCTGAGTCGCCTGCGGTACCTGGCCCGTTCCCGGGCCTGGCGGGCCGGGAGAGTCCTAAACCTCTCCCGGTCCCGCTCCGCCGTCTCCTTCGCGAGCATAACTTGCTCGCAGAAGGAGACGGCAGAGTTCCACGCACTCTCGCTCCGCACGATAGCCGCAATCAGACTATCGAGCGAAAGAACTCCCACTCTGATGGCCGCCACGAGGTCTCGCCTCTGCTCAACCCACGCCGGGCACTCTGCCAGCGTGTGGAGAGCCGTGTCCACGGTCTGGCCATCGCAGTGGTGGCACTCAGGCGTTGGCTCCTTGCGGATCAGACACAGGTGATCCCCGAAACATCCTTTCCCAGTAATCACCTGCGTCAGTCGGTATGAGAGGGTCCCGTGACGCCTCTCGAGCCAATCCTCCATAACGGTTCTTACCGCCGCGATGACGGCGTGCCCGTTAAAAAAAAACCGAGGACCCTATCCGCGAGAATAATAGAGATCGCTTGGCGATAATCGGCCATTTTCATTGTCTTGTTTTATTTCATGACCAGTTTAAATTGAACTATCATTATACTTTTGCAATTTAACTTTTGTACTATGACAGGTTAAAAAAATGCAGTCTCTCTATAAGTTTATGTAGCTATTTTTACATATTTTGTAACTTTATACTCATTGCTTAGAATATGTAGCTTTTTACACTTCGTCGACATATAGTCCTAGTCGAACACTCTTGCCAGTGTTCGTGACTGATGATGGGCAGGATTGCGGCTCTATATTATTAAATTATATTCTAAAAATATGCTTCGCAAATTCTTTACTGTCCTTTTTAAGCAATAAAAAGGGGCACAAAGAATTTTCTTCCCGTGTTAATTATGGGGAAAAAAGATGTTGAACTTATTACGATTTCCCTGATTTCAATATACATAACTACAACTGACTGACAGATGGACTGTCACGTATGGGTATAGATGATTGTCAAGATAAGTATGATAAGATCTCTGAAATTAATAAAAAAAATTATTCCAAAACCATGAATGCATGCAACTCAACTTGACTTGAGATTCTCCATTAAATAGTGTCTGCGTACTCAAAGCCAAGGCAGGTTCCCTACCTGCCTTGGCTTTGAGTACGCAGACACATATTATTAGACATAGACAGTACAGCATATTATAATTTAAAAAAAAACGTGTGGTGGTGGATTAGGAATAGGTAGTGTCACCACTATATAGGATAGTGCCGTAAGAGCCGACTAAAGCAGCAAACTACGCAGGACAATTCACAGGCCATGGCTCCTAAAATATGTATATAATAAATTACCTAGGAATATAAATGACTCAAATGTGACCATCTTAAAACAGGCACTAAAAAAATTCTGAGCCAAAAATGCTATTATAATGTAACTGATTTTCTGCAAGACAAATTCTATATCAAATTAATTACGTTCTTTGTTATCTACTTTATTTTGAACATGACTGTGACATTTTTTTTTCATTGTTTTCATTCAAATATCTGTCTTTATAACATTTATAATATACTCTTGACATTTTTAATTCTCTGACGTTAACGTTGCGATAAATTTATATTATGAATATATTCTTCAATTTGTATTTGTCCTGTTGCATGATTAAATAATAATCTTTTAACTATCTATGTCTAAATATTTGCACACCTTTGAGAAGTTATATTACAGCGCACCCATGTATTATATGATGTAATTTCTACCAGCATTATACCTATTTTCACATCACATCAACACCCTATAGTAGTCCACAACTGGACATAGGCCTCTCCTTAGAAAGGAGGTTTGGCTTACTATACCACGCTGGCCAGACGGGCTGGTAAGTATACCTGTTTTTTTTTGCAAATAAAAATGATTTGCTTTGATTTGCAAACAGCAGCTCAAAGAGAAGCAAAATTTGAAACAAACCCTATACTAACCTGTCTGGCCAGCGTGGTGTAGTAAACCAAACCTCCTTTTTAAGGAGAGGCCTATGTCCTGCAGTAGACTATTAAAGGCTGTTGATGTGATGATAATACAGAGTTAAACATGAAGCTTATTATCAGTATTTGTTTTTTTTTTATTTTGATCACGGTATGAAAAGGGAATCATTTTTATGGTATAGGCAGCAAATGATGAGATCGGTCAGAGTAAGTAACTAGTGCAGTCCAGAAACAGTTTAAGAGTCACAGATGCGTTGGCGACTTTGGATTCCTCCTAGAAATTATTTGGCTCCGATAACCTCACTAAAACATGGCAGCGGATGGATGCGGATTGCCCAAGACCGCGATGGTGGGCGCTCCTTGAGGGAGGCCTTCGTTCAAAAGTGGACGGCAATAGGCTGACGATGCTCACTCAGTCGGTGTAAAGCAACCAGAGAATTGCAGATGAGCCGGCCCTTAAGTGTCAACGGGAGGCTCTCCCACTCCACTAGTTTTTTAAATGAATTTTCTAAACATTAAAAAACCCATTATTCATAATACGAAATCCTACCCATATATAATATTTATATCTATGTATGATCTGAAGTTATTAATTTTGTATTTATGTAAAGTTTTATGTAAAAAATATATCTATACAAATAAATAAAATTGAAGTGTCTGTTTGTAATGTTGAGTTATTATTGATAACTATTATTATTCATGTTACAATACAGTTAGTAGATTAATTATATTTAGGTTAGTAGGTTAGTCATGTTAGTTAAATAACCCACAAACGTAACTCACCGCAGGTCGTCTAAAAATTCGTTCACAACCGATATCATTCTGTTTTTTGAGCTGGAAACACAAAAACACACAATAAGAAAATATAATTACAACATCAATAATAAAATAATATTAATCTTATTATATTTACAAACAGTTTTGATCAAAAGCTATCAATTATGTAAACTTCAGTTGCGCGATTTAGGAATTACGGTCATTTCAAATAGTTCATTCTATAACCGTTAGATGACGCTATAAGTATGCATTGACTCATCTTTAATAATCCATGCCTTGACACGCACGAGCGACACGAAACCTTTCAACGTCGGTACTAATCAACTTAACCTTATGGTTCTTTACGGGTCTTTATAGATGTAGCGAGGAATCAAGGCGGCATTTGCCTCCAGGAAGTATATTTTTGTACGAGTACATTTATTAGAGGAAACTACGTCAGAGGGCCTAGTGCGAGCTTATTTCACACTAACTCGATCGTCACTGTGACGGCGGCATTGCGATTGATCCGAACTGAAATCTTCACCAATCGCAACGCTGAAATCGCTAGTGGTTAAGAGGTCACCTCGCCGTTTCTTACTGCGCTTAGTCTTGTGGGTTTCCTCCCCACATGGGACAACACTTTTGTATTATCCACAAAGCACGAGAGTTGTTTTTTTTAATCATTCAGTCATTGTTATTAGCGTGAAGTGTGCTAGTGATATTCTTTTTGGATGTGGAGTAGTATTTTTTTTGGTTGACAGGGTAGAAAATCCCTTCAGAACTCCTGCTCCTTGGGGACTCAGGGAGCCAGGAGTATGTGGTGATTCCATTAAAACCACCGCGACGACCAGCCCTACTCTGGGAGGACTCGGATGCGATTTCAGGTCCTCTCCGAATCGACACCACGCCTAATCTGTCCTTATCCCGTGGGAAAAGACTCCTCACTCGCGGCCTGGCGGCCCGATTGCGTCTTAATGCGATCAGGCCGCCATCCTATCCCCTACCGCAGCAATTAATCTGCCACCAAAGGTCACTCTCTGGCGACCCGCGACTCCGTCGATGTTTAGTATCGCCGCCGACGTACTATACGCCCGGAATCGGCCCTCTCCCAAAACCGTCTAGCGGTCTCTTTCTGGAGCATTACAACTTCACAGAAAGAGACCACTGCGCCCGAGTGGAAGTTTCTAACGGTTTAAACTATTTTTAGTACTGATACTTCAAAACAATGGAACAAATGGTTTTCCCTTTTTGTTCGGTTATGAACCGTATCTAAATATACCATATTATATTTATATAATAAATGTTAAACTATTTAAGTTTATGCGAAAGTGCGTGTTGTGGCACGCGCAGTTAATTTTACCTTCTAGAAAATAGGGTTACAGTAATAATAATAATAATATTCTACCACATTCACACAACACCATCAAGCCCCAAACTAACAGCTGATATAAATACATATATACTTTTTTTTTGTAAATACATACATATTATACATAGAAACACCCAGACTAAATCAACATCAAATGTTCATGCACACAAATGTTTGACTTGAGCGAGAATCGAACCCGCGACCTTTAGAATTGCAGTTCGTTACACAAACCACTACGCCATTCGGTCGTCAAATTCGTTGTTCGTTTGACGTATAGAAATAAAGCTTTATATATTATGTGTAAATATATTGTTTGTATGACCACTGATATCTTTTGACGCACCTGGTAGTCTTATTGTTAATGATTCTCATTGCTAAACCAAAGGTCATATATTCGATTCCCATCCATAATTGTGATGAGCATGCCATTTGTTCTGTGTCTGGGTGACATAAAAGTGGTTCTACATAAGTATGTTTATCATCAGTCTGGTAACCATATTAGGGGTTTGCCTAGTTTGGGATCAGATATGGCCGTATGTGAGATGTGTGAGGGGCGCATCTGTTGATGGAACTAGGAAGTGAAACCCTTGAGTGACTATTAGCTAATCCTTTCAGTGTGAACTCGTATGGTTCGTTTTGACGATTCCAACCAAACAAAGAAGATAATAATAATTATAAATAGTATCTATTTACTTTTTAATTTAGTTTGCCATTACTAATTGTATATACTCGTAATTTTCGTGTTATCAACTACGGTAAATTATTGCGGTAATTTTTTTTATCAGAATGTAGTGTTATAAGTGATGTTGGTATATCAAATAAATAAATACTTGAATAAAAAAATTACTTGGATTATAGTTTACTGTGTAAAACCCTCAGTTTTATATTGAATACACATTTATATAAGTACGATAAATAAGGAATACTCAAAATTACTTTTTTTCTGTTTCTCAGCCTTTTAAATGTTTTTTTTTTAACTTAGAGCAACAGACAACTTAACTATGTTAATAAATACAGAATTAAAGTTAAATATTGTTTGTCACGCTTTCGCGCCTTAAGTGCTCAACCAATCATCATAAAATTTCACGTACACTTTACCACGGGTTCAGAAATGGACAGGAAAAATATAGTCCCTGTGTGATACTTCTTTTATGACGTAGGGAGCAAACGAAAAGACAGGTCACCTGATGGTAAGTGATAACCACCGCCCATTGAAATTGTATTGTCCCCGTGTGATTTTTTGAAGTGAAATCTTTTTTGAACAACAAACAATAGAATGTATGTTTTGAGATGAGAAAAAACCAATGAACTCGCGACACTGTTCCCTTTACCTACACCTATGCATCTACATAAATTGGCCCCTTTTACATGAAAGTTGAATTTGGGTTAAAATACATTGATAATATAACTATATATAATATAACATATGTTGTGTATATACGTACAACATAGGTTTATATTAATGTCGGAACTTTTCGAATCGAAGAAAACAAAAAAAAGACACAGGTCAGTATAACAGTATAATCAAAACAATTTAAATTTTCAAGTTTTTACTTCTGTCGGCACTCCCGGAGTGACACTGTTTTTGGTATAGGGTTACAAACGAGCAGACGGGTAAAAGACAGCATCGGTTTAATATGAGGTCTTGGTACCACTATGGTCGAGACAGGTCCATGTGTACGGGAAGCAGGACTCTCCCACTACAGTTTAATTAATTTGTAGGCTATCAGGATAGACAGATTAAGAATACGGAGTGTCTCTACAATGACCCATGACTTCTGGCTCAGCAGCCAGGGTCACTGACTAATAAATCAACAGTCTATGGCTTTAAGCATGACACGTACAGTATCACCAATAACGTGATGTTTCGAAATTTCAATTAAATTCAGCGTGGTGGAAAGGCGAACACTCCTCTGTTGTCACCCGTGCAGTCTGATTTGAATCAGGCAACGGTTAGTGAAACTGATATCCATGTAGTGACGGATTAAGAATACATAGTGTCACCACCCCTATTCATCCCGTGGGTGTCGTAAGAGGACTAAGGAAGCAAACTACCCGGAACAACAGCAATGCAAAGAAATGAAAAACTTGACCGTCTGGCCCGCGTGGTTTAGTAGGCCTACACCTCTTTTCTAAAAGGGGCCTGTGTCCAATAATGGACTATTTAAAGGCTGTTGATGTAATGAAATGTAGGCCTTAGCTACTTAAGTAATGATTATGACGACAACCGGCCTGTTGGTCTAGTGCTTACCAATCCTCACTGCTGCGCCAAAGATCGTGGGTTCGATTCCAGTCCAGAATAATACGTGATGAGCACGATCATTTGTTCTGTGTCTAGGTGTAATATGCATGTATTTGGTAATAAACAAATATATAGACTTAAGTTCTTCACACAATAAATACAACAGCAAAACGTCAAGGCCATAATTTAACTTATTTGCTCAAACGACGATCGTAAAATTTCTCTACAGCAAAAACAACAATAGGCAAAGAAACGTTCTGAAATCCCACATTACTCTCTATACTATCTAAAACAAACAGTCAATAGATAGCTACACTAAGATAACGTCAATTGATAAGAATCTCGTGAGAAATGAATAAGACGAGTGCCCCATTTACGTGTAGGTTACCAGCATCCGTTTATAGATGGCGTCATCACACATATGACAGAGCCTTTTTGAGGGTGTATAGAGGAGCACTCTTGTCACCTGATGGTGTCTACCGCCGCCCATGGTCTCCTGCATGAGTCACAAGTATTTGCCAACTTTTCCACCCCAGCAAGAATAAAAAAATATAACTACCCGGTTGATTGCAATTTCACTTGCTCTCTATGTGACGACTAAACTTACGGTCATCTAAATGTGGTTGCTTTATTTGCCCCTTCAGGGATAAAAAAACGTGAGTATATGTGTGTATGTATTTATAAAAAACGGTACAAACCAATGGTAATATCTTCGGATTATGTAGGTGTGGTGACAGATTAAGAAAAAGGGATGTCACCACCCCTATTCATCCCGGCGGTGTCGTAAGAGCCGACTAAGGGAGCAAACTACGCAGGACAACAGCACTGCAAAGAGAAGGAAAACTTGAAACAAACCTATGACTAGTAGTGGACTCTTATAGGCTGATGATGATGATTGATGAATACCTTCGCGTCTAAGTTTTGTACAAGATTATATTATATAAAGGTACTATTATAGTATCAATCATAATTATGTAATGTGGTTCAAGCACCTTCCTTATCAGCAAAATATAATCGGTTTTTATCGATTTGATTCGATTTGATTTATATAACAATCAGATTTAGAATAGGTATTTGATTAGTTGAGTGCCTATTACTTATTTCATTTTCTTGCCGTTATTACTGGCAAGTCAAACCAGTATCCTTTTATTAGGTAAACGTCAAAACGATAGACGCGACACATTTTCGTACAATATCATGGCGTCACACCTTTTTTTTTCTGTTCGGAAATCCCCTCGGATACCACCCACCGGTGGCTATATCGGACTCGAATCGAATAAAAACCGCACGGCGTCTCGGGTACCAGGTGTACCTGGCGTCACACCTAGCCAAATTATTTATATTTAATGTTGATTTGGAGATTAAAAAAAACTATAAAAACAGTAAATTCCGGTGACGTAATACTGGTGACAATATATTTGAGACACCCCGTCTTACATTACCTGAAAATTTGT